GCTAATTTACTCCAGATGGTGAGGAAACTCTGATCTTTGAAAAGAACCTGCAAATGCCCACAGATCTAATCACAGTCCTGTAACATCACAGTACAGGAATGCAACTGCACAACAATGTGGATTCCCCTCTCACACTTAGCTAGCTACAAATGCATCAAAACATTTCCGTAACAACGCTTGGCTAAGAAAGTTTAGACTAAACAGTTGAGATCCTGAATATTTGATTAACATGTGTTATTATGTTTTCTCTCCAGTCTCAGAGCCCAATCTGAAGGTGCGGTCCAGGTTAAAGCAGAAGGTTGCAGAGAGGAGAAGCAGCCCGCTTCTTAGGAGGAAGGAAGGGAGCATCATGACACCTTTCAAAAAGAGAGCCCTGGAGCTTCTGGGTAGGAGTGTCATCCCATAATGCATCTTAAAATTATTATTTTACGTTGAAAGTGTATTTCAAAACCTTACTGAAAATGTTAATATTGCACAATGACAACTGCATGTATTCAAATTGCATGTAAAATATACCTGCAATTTACACTTGACATTTAATTTCATATAAAATGTTTGTTGAATTTGGTATAAAAAAAATGTTCAAAACCATATGAAGGATTTGTAGATCTACAGTTTATATAATATATTATCAATAATGTCTATTCTTGAACTTATGTCTGTTTAATTTAATCTTCCCCAGAATCCACAGCCAGCAGCAGTGCACCAGGATCGGGGCCCAGTTCACCCAACGGGGCCTACAGTGCCTTGGGGGCTGAAAACGGACCCTCCTCTCTACCAGTCACCACACGTACTGAGGTACTTACATTAAATGTGTTTTATTACAGGTACGCAAGTCTATTAACCGTTAAGCTTTCTCACAGCAGTTTCATCAAAGCTTTCCTGAAAGATTAAAACTTGTACGACTTAAAGAAAAGTTGATGGCCACCTGGCCGCACCCATAAATTTCCTCGACACAAGCCCAGCCTGTCCTCGTGCAGCTATGAAAACACAAGTCTGTCTCTACAGCCTGTGACCTGCTTGTCTGTCTCAGTCCAATGAAAACGGCTCCCAGCACGGACAATAAAGAGTCAATTCACTTCCTCCCACAAACTCCTGCTCTGTACCGCTAACCTTTACAGGCATAGCTATGTGGTTTTCTTTGCCTGCAGCTCTCGTAAAGCTCAGGGCAAGAAAGATTAGATCAGATATAGCTCAAAATAAAGTTACGTACAGGGCTCACCTATGGATATTCTTACTGCCAACCTTCAAAATAGTGTGCAGGTTCCAGGTTCAGTACATCTTAAGCTCAATCGACTTTATATTATATATAAATCACCACAAAACTCTGACTCCCCTATTCTTTAAAAAAAGTCTTGGTTTACTGTGAGGCATTAAGAATGGAAGTGAAAGGGGCCAATTTGTAAATGTTAAAATACTCAATGTTTCAACATTATAGGCACAAGACGTAACAAACAAATAAATAAGCCCATTACTTGTATTGTGAATAAATCACTTACTAACTTTTTCTGTGTAAAGTTATATTCAGTTTTATTTCATTGTCATGACAGCATAATGACTAAACCCCTAATATGACCATACAGTTTAAGATAATAACATTACATCTCAAATTATACACAGGTTTAACAAAACAACTAACTTCACATTTTGTATTTTAAATTGTCCAAAAATTGGCCCCAATCAATTCCATTATAACCTTACTTTTTGCTTTTTTCTAAAGAAAACAAAGAACAAGCCAGAATAATCTTTGTGTTAATCAACATAACACCACAATACTGTCAAGTAATCGAAATTAAACCAAAAGTGCGTTTATCAGTTATCAAATTGATAAGCTGCGATTTAATTTAAAAAGTATGCGCTGCGTGAAGCACTGTGTTCATTTACACGTGAGCAGCTCATGGTGCAGTGTTTTCAGTATCTTATGGTGAAATTACAAATTTTTTGTTAATTTTAATAAGAATTTCATAATCATATGCATATATAATCACAAAATTGTGAGCCAAATTGTAAAGCCCTACAAACAAGCTTTTTTTAAATATCATATCATCCCAATTAACCATGGTTTTACTACAAATAAAACCCAAAACCATAGTTACAGTAGTTAAACTGTTAACCACAAACTAACCATGGTTTTTGCTGCACTAACCATAGTTTAACCATGGTATTTGTAGTAAAACTGGTTATACAAATGGTAATCAAAATGCCAAAAAAACATGGTTACTACACTTTTACTACAGTAAAACCATGATTAATTTTCGTAAGGGATGCAGCCCTACTGCCAACTGAGCGTAACTTGTATTGAACCCAAAATATTCCTATAGGAACACGGAGGGCTTTTCCCTTTTGCCGATGTTCATTAGCTCCCTCTGACTCACTTCCTGGTGGCTTCACGGCTTGGTTCCTCCGGGTCCCCGTGGACTTTGTTCACAAAGAGGTGTATTCTGGGCAAATGTGACATGTCTCTGTGAAGCCTCAGCTTAGCAGCTGTGTTATTCTTCAACACCACTGTTTACACTCCCATGGACCTCCAATGCAATAGCCGACAAGGAATGCTTATTGCGCTGCGATCCAGGGTCGAATTGGTGGGTGGTTGAGCTTAATTGATCCACCAGCCGCTGGTAGCCAAAGACACGATAACAACACAAACACGCCCGATCGCTATTGTATTGACATAAGCTTGACGTCTCATGGATCGTACCGGTGCTACCCGCAGACACCGCGCCAGTTTCGAAAGCCAGCCGTGTTTGTGATCCGTTACATTGGGTATCTTCTTTCAGAGGGAACTGGTCCCCTGGGTGAAATAAGGCCGGATATCGACATACAGGTCAGTGAATAGGCAGGAGGGATTGGAGGGTAAACAGTACAGCCCCTCTGCCACATGCTGATGGGCCGCACCACCAAGTGGAGGAAGTACAGTCAAAAACTGATCAGCAGTGAGACTGTTTTTACTCTGATACAATTCAATTTGAGAAATAATAGCAAGTGGGATGCGATTCTGCGTTTGTGGGCTTCTCTGTGGCATTGGTTTTATGTCCTCCAGTTGAGCTCATACAGCTCCGCTGTGGCAGGAACAAAACCGTCATTCGTTTTAGTACATTAAAGTTTATTGTTCTGTTGCTGTTGCTCTTTCCAATGGTCCATAGTGAGATTTCAAAAATATCTCTCTTTCTCTCTCCCTCCCTCCCTCTCTTTTTCCATCACAGCGGTGGCCGTCACAGCCGAGGTTATTAGGGGCTGAAAGCTCAGTGTCTTTATTAAATCTCTATACGTCTCTATCGCTGCCCAATATCTCCCTGGGTCTCTCGGCTGCCTCTCCCATCAGTGTAAGTCAAATAATGACATGCATCGTCTTTCATAACTTCCTCTGTTAAAGCCTATTCACACCAAGTCTGGATTTTTGGCATGAACAACATGACACAATGCTTCCCAATGAACTCTGTTTCACTCAAATAGACCGCAGTGAGTATCGCGGTATAGTGTGTGTGTATATTATATATATATATATATATATATATATAATATACACATTAATTCCTGAATATATATATATATATATTCAGGAATTAAGACTTTTCAAAAGATTGAGTACAAAACTACATATACAATATTTTCATATTTTAGTAAAAATAAAAAAATAAAACAGAAATAAATATTTTGCTGATTTTTTTATAAAATATAATATTATATGATTCTATGTCTCTATATCAATTATTATTATATTTATACAGTATAGTGTATATACTGTATATTATATTTACATAACCGTTAGTTCACTGTTAATTAATTAATTAATTAATAATATAGTAGTATTATATGATATTTCTTCTGCATGTGTGATATTGTTAATTTACCAGTCAAACGTTTGGAATTATGAAGATGTTTTAATGTTTTTGAAGTCTCTTAAGCTAAGAGTATAATTTATGAATATATACATTCATATATATATATATATAATATTAATATGCAGTGTATATATAATATTAATTTATATATTAATTTATATATATTCTATATATCATATTTAAACTTACATTTAAATATGATATATAGAATTCGATATTGTATTAAGTGTGAATAGTTTTGGTGCTATATACAGTGTGAATATTTTACTTTAATATTATTTTGTTGTCACTCGTGTTGTAAGCTGTCACTCGACCATAATCAGGACATCATTATAGAAAAATCACATTTTTAATTGATGTCTCTTTTGAATTCCAGTTTAGAGTCACCAAGACTGATTTAATTCTAATGAATTTGATGTGGATGTTTACACTGATAAATGAGGGGAAATGTAGTTTATGGCCTTGGCTCAGCTGCATATTGCTTTGACTGTTGACAGACTAACCATCACTGGCTGACTGGATGATATGTGTAGCCTCAGGGTGGTGGCCTTTGACCTTGAGTGATTTTATAGGCCTTAGATAAATATTGTGTTTAAGTGTCTGGTGTCGGTTGCACTCCAGCCCTCCCCAGTCACCTCATCCATTACTGCTGTTTAAAGTCCAGCCAAACCAGAATAATCAAGTGTAGCGCCAAATAATATTTAATCAAGAGTTAATTTGCAGTTTAAATTGTTTATTGCTCCCTACCTAGAAGATTAAATAAACATGAATACATTTGTATACATATATTTGGCTATAAGAGACTTTTTGATCTGAACAATGCAAGACCATTCCACATAGTCTCTTATTTATCAGAGCACATACTGAGGTTTGAACAGTTAATTCAATACGTTTGCAACTGTACCAATTGAAATTAATAGACAATATCCTCTCTATCACCTCTCAGGCTGCTTTAGGACTTCAGGAGAAGCATGTTGAGGGTGGTGGTGTATCAGCGGTCATTCAAGGTTTGCCCACCCAACTTCTGGGTCCAGTGCCCCTGTCTGTTGCAATGGAGACCAAAGTGAGCAGCAGCCACCAAGCTCTCCTGCAGCACCTCCTCCAGAAAGAGCAGCTCCGCCACCAAAAGATCCTCTCTACTGGTGAGAACATCAGAGCTTCGATATATCCAAAGTTGTGTCATGAAACTCTAGATGGCACAGTCCCATATAGGTATAACTCAATATGGCATAATGACATCATCACAAGGCGCAGCTGATTGGTTCTTTGTATCAGCAGCCAATGAGCTTGCTGCTCAATATTCAAATACACGGCTAGTGTTTGCTGTAGCAGTTGTAGTGCGCTTCAGAAACCCTCCACCTTCCCCAGTTCCACCTGTATAGATCTGCTACGGGGTAATTCATGTATGCTATATATGGGGTTTATTCATTTGTTATATGTGCAGCAGCAGTATTTCTTACATGCTCACAGCAGCATGTTGTGGATGTATTGGTGGTAGCAAGTCGGTACTTTCTCTGCTGCAGCAGCGTAGCAGATCTATTCCGCAGACAAACATTGTCATGTACATTACCATGCCAAACCCTCTGAAAGTTGTCATGACAGAAATAAGATTCTTACAGAATACTTAAGTAGATTCAGCATAATAGAATTTGATTTCAACTGAACAGATTACATTAGACCACAAATTGTGTCATTTGCTCACCCTCATGGTGTTCCAAACCCATATGACTTTTTTCCTTTCTTTCTTCAATGAAATGAATGGGGACTAGATACTTGAAGCTTCAAAAAAGCAACATAAAGGGATCAAAGTCTTCTGAAGTCATGCGATAACTTTGTATGATGAACATACTGCTGCAACCTGGGCTGTGTTTCCCAAAAGCATCGTAAGCCTAAGTTGATCGTAGCTCCATTGGTGGCAATAGGTCTACGATGTATTTAGGCTTACGATGCTTTTGGGAAACTCAGCCCTGGTCATTGAGACTGAAGGCTCGAATACACAACATGGCTTTTCAAATCTGAACAGATTTAAAACACTGACTTTGTAAATGTTTACAGAGAAAAAATGGGCATCATACACTAAACAATCCGATGCTACCAGACTTTCAAATCGTTCTCAACACAACAAACTCAAGCAGAAACTTGCTCCTCGTTGCCATGAGAAATGACAAATGTGAACAATGTGTTCTAAAATCATCTCAAAATATCAAATATTTGATGTCCTCCTCAGACTGGATAGGTTTGAAGTCTGAAGGAAGACTGTGCACATCATACACTACACAGTTCTGAGTGAAATCTGTCAACTCAAATCTGTAGACTCACTTTTAGCAGCTAGCGTAAACTTGTCCAGACTGTAAACTGGGGGGGGAAATCTGGGCAAAAGTAATGTGGTGTATTCCAGCCTTGTAATCAAATCATCCAGACTGCTTTGTAAACTGAATCAACCAATAAATTGAAAAGATCCAACTTAAAAGAATGATTCATTCACAAATCATGAGCATCACTTCTTCTCTAGGGAACATGCTAAGGAGGTCTAGAGTGAGTAAATAGTGACAAATTTCATTTTTGGGTGCACCGTTCCTTTAAGTGAAATCAGGGCAGAGAGGGTGAAACTTTTATTCTATTAGATTTATATTGATCAGATCCATACATTTTGTTACATAGGTCAAAGTCCTGTGCATCCTCCTTCTCCACTGGCCATGATGGAAAGCTCTCCAAGCAGCACTCGACCCAAACTGCCTCGTCACCGGCCCTTAAACCGAACCCAGTCGGCTCCACTGCCCCAGAGCACACTAGCTCAACTTGTGATTCAGCAGCAACACCAGAACTTCCTGGAGAAGCAGAAACAGTACCAGCAACAGGTCCACATCAACAAGGTACAATCACTTAATCAACCTGTCAGTGCAACAATGACTTTAGTGCTATCATGGGAAGATGAGGATGAAGCTGAATGATTATGTTGTCATCCTAAAGCACATTTTCCTTGAAATACCATTCAGTTCACATGGGAACTAAAGTTGGACAGCCCATCTCCATTATGTTAGGGAAAAACCTGTACTGGGTTCAGAAGCAGCACTTGAATTAGCATAGCTTAAGGCATCAGTTGCATGCTAACACCACAAAATTGCACAGGGACAAGTTCAAATGGGCACCAAAGTGGATAGAATACATACTTTTGTTCCCCTGTGGAAATATTTGTGTTTCTGTGCACCAGCAGCCGTGACCTGGCCATCCGTTTAAGTGCAATTATTCTGCCGCGCATGCAAGGTTAGCGACACGGGAGGCTCGCGCTGTGAAAGACTCCATTGTTAGCAGGAGCTTGCAGATTGATCTGCCTTATTATTGCTGAGAGTGCTATGGGAAATTCAAGGATACAAGTGCAATTTTCAGACGTGAAGATCAAAAGTGCCCAGAGAGCACTTGTTTTTGGCTATTTATTGATATGGGCTCAGTCACCAGGGCCATGTACAAAAAAACAGTCTAGTCTGGGTCACGAATGACTGGTATAGTTGCATGACTGTAGTTTGAAAGTTGCTAACTCATTTGTTTTTCATGTTTAAATCATGTGAAACTAGCAAATCATAGTTAATTACAAAAATGCTAAATGCAGAGTGCATAAAAAAAGCACAGGTTCTTAGAAATGTAGTCTTTGTGTTTATGTTGGTGTCAAATGAATTTGGAAATCTATTAAAAGTCTCAGTTCACTGACCCTAAAAATGTCATGTGGATAAACCATCACTTAAAACATATTTTTCCTACACCTTGAACACATATGAGTGTACACAAATAATTATTTTTAAAAACCTTTTTAGGTATGTTTTTTTGGGGGGAGTCGTACCACATGACATTTTACAGTTTGAACTAAAAATATCAATCTGATATTTTAGGAGGTTTTTACCTTGATACACAGTTATAAGTTAAGATATAATTTCATATTGTATTTTTTTCTGCATGTTTACTGCATATTGGTTGCACCATATGACTCCAATTCGGCAAGATTTTTTTGTTTTTTATTAATAAAGAATGAAGCTAAAATATTTTTTTCCCCTTAAGAAATAGTAGTAGATTATTCCAAACCATTTAAGTTTAAAGTTGCTTTTTTCTTCATTATGATATTAGGGCAGTTGTATCACTCTGACATTTCAAACTTTATGCCCCCCAAAAATATCAAAATTATTTTATCATCATAGAAGATATGTATTCAAATCTTATTTATGAATTGCATATATATACAGTGGGTACGGAAAGTATTCAGACCCCCTTCAATTTTTCACTCTTTGTTATATTGCAATAGATGATACAAATGGCATTATTTAACTGACCCTGGTATTTGTTCCAGAGCTGAATACAGTTTGTACCATAAAAATAATGTGATCTGACTGGAAGCATTTCCTAATTATTCTTACTAATTATTAACAAGTAAATACTTTGTCCAAACAGACTCTTTGGACGGTCTGTAACCCTAAACTCTTGTAGTTAGGAGTAATAAATGATTTCTGAGAGAAATGAGGTCATGAATACTGTGAAATCAGGGATTAGCTTTCTGGTTGAATAACAATGTTTTACCTGCGCTAAATAGGGCACCTGTGTAGTTTTACATCCGCTTACAGGCTTTAGTGGGAGATATAAAAAAAAGTGTTTTACTAACTCCAGGACACAATGACTATATTTACTTGACGTAGGATGTATTTATATGAGGCTCGCTGTTTGGCTGTTATGCCATCTTGTGAATGAGTCCCAATTCTGGTAAATGACAGCATTTGTGTTGCCTGAATTGGCACAGGGACAATAAATCGCTCATTGACTGAAACACTTCATGAACATCCAATAATAAATCATGTTTCTCTCTCCCATAGATGCTTTCGAAATCGATCGAGCAGCTTCGTCAGCCAAACATCCACCTGCAGGAGTCAGAGGAGGAAGAAGGAGAGGATTTTCATGACGAGACCATGCAGGAGGACAGCTGGCCCTCTGGTGGCGTCATCAGGAAGCACAGCCCCGACAGCAACCGCAGCAACACCTCCGCTTCACCCACCGAACCACTGGACACTCACCGTGGAGTCATCCGGGTGAAAGAGGAGCCCAGTGCCAGTGATGATGAGACAATGGCTACTCAGAGCCTGGCCGACAAGGAGAGCTCCTACATTCACCATGTTAAAGGCAGGATGGTGATCCAGGCCATGATATGAAACGACAGATACATCTTCACACACGCACACGAAGGCACAGGTTAACATACACGCAACATGCTTACACGACACAGAGCTTCAGAACTGGTCTCATTCGTGAACTTGTGAAGTGATCTCTGTATTGTACGTTGTATGTTTTGTATATAATTGAATAAGAAATTAGCCAACTTGGTCTTTTAAATGCTAAGAAGCAGTTTTTGATTGTTTGTTGAAATAATAATTTAAGAAAGCCTTTCTACTTTCTACCCACCCTTTGGGAAACAGCAACTCGAAGCTCTTGTAGGATATTTCTGTGATTTCCCATGGCACTATGGATTTCTTATAGATCTTTCTTTGCATTTAATGAATGTTATTATTAAGATATGTTACAGTTTATATGATGAAAAAAACTTGGTTTGCTGAGAGAATCCCAAATTGTAGGGAAACAGGTCAGTAACCATGAAAATCCACACAACAACAGAATAAAAGGAATATTCTAGGTTTGACACAAGTTAAACTCAATTAACAGCACTTGTAGGATGATGTTGATTATCACAAATAAAAAAAATAAATTTTTTTTTGATTGGGCACCAATAGTTTGATAATATAATTTTATAAAAATGTACTTAATTTTTCTATTGAAAGTTGTCTATTATTTGAGCTGTAAAGTTCTTGTCATCATTTTTGGGTTTTAGACATTCTGTTGTCGTACAATGGAAGTTGCAAAACTTGATACAACTTTACACAGGAAAGTTTAGTAAGCAATTTTTCATACTAAAATCATGTTAACATCCATATTTTTTAGGCACTATTAAAATGGTGAGTATTTTAATGGATTGGCCTCAGTCATTTCCTGCATTGCTCTAGTAATCAATATTATGTTAAGTGCTGTTGATTGAGCTCAACATGTATTGAAACCCAGAATATCCCTTTAACAGTTGGAGCAAGATCTGGAAAGTTCTAGAATGACGTTCTGTGTTCCCTGTTCTCCTGTGGCCCAAATCGAAGGCTGCCCTGGATCGTGAGCAGCTCTGCTCCTTGCTGAATTTTGAGAGGGAGAGAGTTGTAGAGGAAATGCCTGGTGGAAGCCAGGAATCAGAATGATTCATGAGCGCAGGAATGCTGGGAGAGGACAACTCCACGCTGAAGTCAGAGGGCCCAGCAGTGAGCTCTGATTTACTGTTGAGGCAAATTACAAAGTGAGGGAGGAGACGGCGGGGGGAGCCCCCTTTTAAAACTCTGTATTCCCACGTGATGTGTTTACCACGACATGCAGGCTTGATGTTACTTTGGTAGAAAAAAAGGTAATCGTTCCGTTCTCTCCTGAGGCAGTGTTGCAATTCGTTGGCCGTCTTTCTTCATGAAGTGCTCGGATCAACTCGTGATAGTTTCAAGAAACGTACTATTGTCGTTTTTTGTTAGTGAGCCATCTTTCCTGTATTTTTCTTTTTTATTTCAAACATTTGGTGTAAAACTGTTCGTTTTTGTGACTGAAATCCTCTGAAAAACAACAAAAAACAACTTATTTAATTGATGTGAGCCATCACTCTGTCTACAAAAAGCCTATGAGTCAACCTGAGCTGGCCTGTTTCGTTCCTGTTGTCTGCTCCACTGTTCTGGATGTTAATAAGAACTGTCCGCTATAGCGATAGAATGTCACATTTAGTTTGTAACCGTACACGTTCCCTTCTGTCACAGATCACCTTTTTAAAATAAAGTTATTTTCCATCCTGTACTTCTCTGGACAGTCTTTTCACTGGATATGTTTAAGGAGTGGATTTCCTAAATAAACAGAATTGGAGTATAAAATGCAGTTGCTCTCTTAAATTTTCCCACACTCAGCCAGAGTCCGGCTTCTGAGTCTGAAGGCGATACAGAGGTTGTAGTCTCTGACTTTGAAGGCTTTCGGAACGGGGCTTTGAAGTGAACATGAGAGGTTCCTTAAGTCTGCATTAAAGCTGTTAAGATAAAGTGAACTTAAAGACGGTGATATATAACCTGGGTTAAAGCGACCAGGCCAAGTTTAACCAATTATGCAGGGTAGGCTTAGCTGGAGCTCGGACAATTCCTGGTCTGAACCAGCAATCCAGTTTCACCAGCTCATATCGCGATTGTTTTATTCAGTCAGTTTGAATCTGGAGAGGTGGGGTGATATTAACTCAATAGAGGGCAGGTTTTATTTTGAACTTGTGCTGCAAGTCTTCTTATCTTATATATTCAGAATATTCAGTATTAGTGACTGATTGCCGATTTTATGTGAGATATTCTAAAAGCTTGAATATATTTTGGCAGATGTTACAGAACATCAACCAAAAATATAATCAAATTTACGCACAAAAAGTAGCTTCATAAAATTAAGGTTGAACCACTGGTGTCACATGGACTATTTTATCGATGTCCTTTCTACCTTTCTGGGTCTTGAACGTTGTGTTGCTGTCTGGGTCAGGAAGCTCTCGGATTTCATCAAAAATATCTTCATTTGTGTTCTAAAGATAAACAAAGGTCTTGCGGGTTTGGGACAACATGAGGGTAATTAATGACAGAATTTTCATTTTTGGGTGAACTATCCCTTTAAACTGGATTAGGTGAAAGTATTTTATCATTCGCTTCAACTGTTTAACTTTTTTTTCTGTCAATATAATTGAACGTTAAATTAGGATTTATATAAATTTATTTAGCTCTCTAGTAAGTGTCAACAGTTTAGCTTGCAGGTATGAATGCATCATCTAACCTAATAAATATAGCAATGATTTACAGTAATAAGATATGACATTTTTTTTGGCACATTTTACAGTGTGATGAATAGAAAATGTCAAGTCTAGTATTCCTAGTATCTGACAGTCCACAGTCCAGAAAAGTTTATTTTTTCAGTGGACTGGTGTGAATGTACTGATGCCAGTGAGACTGTGAAATTAGAAGTGTGTGTGTGTGTGTGTGTGTGTGTGTTTGGTCCTTTTCATTTGCCTTGACCAAACTCAAGGTGTGATACAAGACTGCTGAGACTGTCCTGGCAACCAGTAAAGGAAACAGCAAGAAAGAGTTATAAAACGCCCACCCGGGATCCAAATTTATATCAAATAAAAAAGGAGAGTGAACTGTAAAGGCTCCTCTCTGGTGTGGAATCATTTATTTTGGAGACATGTCCATGCCCTGTTCTCTAGGGTCCGGTGTTGGTGTTATTTTTGCAGCCTGTCAAACCAAATGTACATGGTGTGCTGTTCAATTGTTTGGCTGCTTCCAAGTTGGCTGACTGTGATTGACTGGCAATAAACTATGCTTTGCTTAACTGACAGATCATGGGCATTACATCAATGGAGAAATTCTGTCATTGGATTCATCATGAGACATATAATATATCTGCAAAGCAAAATATAAGAGTGGTAACTGCTTGATGGGGAGGTTGTGGCTTGTGCTGGGTTATCATTACACATTATGTAAAGCTATTTGGTGGTTTTGCAACGTTTCACGTTGTATGGTTAAGACCTCATCCAGTAGACGTCAGTGTATTGCAAGCAGCCAGAATGGGAGAGTGAGACACTGGGAGAGCCAGCTCTTGTCTCGCCCTTTGCTATTAGGGAGAACTGCAGTCCTTACCCTCAATGATTGAAAAGGAAGAAATGCTGCCATAACTTTGACCCACAGAAATGTTGTCGGTCTCACTGGCCAGCGTCATCCAACCCGTTATCGTGACTCCAGCAGCATTGATCTTCCTTGTCATGTTTAATGAGGTAAGCGAATGGAGAAGGGGGCATTCAAAGAGCAGGCGGCGTGCGGGACCTGCTGTATCTCACAGTCAGATTGGTCGGGCTGATAGGTGAGGGTGAGGAAGAGCAGTGGCCCGGGATAAGGGCTCCCCTGGGAGGAGCTGACTGCACTCCAATCCATGAGGGCCAAGGAAGGTTTTCAGAAAAACACCAATATCCTAGCTAAGAATCTTGTTTTAAGAACAATTTGTATGAAATGTTATGGGTAATTGCTCACCAGTGGATCCTCTGCAGTGAATGGGTGCCGTCAGATTGATAGTCCAAAAAGCTATTGCAATAATCCACAAGTAATCAACATGACTCCAGTCCATTGGTGAAAGTCTTGTAAAGCAAAAAGCTGTGTGTGTTTGTAATAATCAAATCCATCAAGAAGACGTTTTAATTTTAAACCATCGCTTCTGACCAAAACATGAATCCATACTCCATAATAATGCTGCCTAATTAAAAGTCTATCTCACAGCTTTTTGCTTCACAAGATGTTAACTGATGGACTTGAGACATGTTGATTGCTTTTTAATTAGTGTGATGTTTTTATCAGCAGTTTTGACTCTCATTCTAGTGGCACCCATTCACTGTAAAGGATCCATTGGTTATCAAGTGATGTAATGCTAAATTTCTCCAAATATGTTCTGATGAAGAAACAAACTCATCTACATCTTGAAGGGCATTGAATGCGGAGTAAATTTTCAGCAAATGTTCATTTTTTGGGTGAAGTATTCCTTTAAAGGTGACATATCATGAAAATCTGACTTTTCCAGGTTTTAAGTGCTATGATCAGTGCATCTACCAACCAAGGAAACGTGAAAAAGATTAACCCAGTAACTTTGTTTTGGTAAGCCTTTTTCTGCAAGCATCTGAAAAAAAACGAGCGCGTCTGATTTCGCTCTCTTGGTGACGTGGCAAAGGGATCTCATCATAATATTACCACCCCTTAACCTGTAAGTTTACACCCACGGCGCCATCATTTTGATTTCGCAAGCGACAACGGTGTACCAGCTCTAATGCCATGGCGAAAGTTTGAGCAAAACATGCTAACTGTACTGTCTTTGGCTGCACAGACGAGCACAGAACACTATTTAGAGTCCCAGCCTCAGAGGAGACAAGAGAGCAGTGGATTTATTGATTTATTTACTGTATATTGCTGCTGCCACACAGATCTAAAATAAACATGGGATTTATTTCCCAGCTGTTTACCTTCACAGACATAAACAACAGTTTTTGTAACTTGTGTGTTTTAAACATAAACTTGTGTGTGAATGAGAACTTAGTTTAGTACTCACATGCTGTGACAGCCACTTTCTGTCCGTGTGCTTTGGATGTGGTGGAGTATTTTGAGCTGAAACTTCACAGACACATTCTGGGGACACCAGAGACTTATATTACATATTGTGAAAAGGGGCATAATATGTCTCCTTTAACTCACTGACATTTAAAGAATGTTACATTAACAATGTTTGAATTTCATTATATGGTTTTGAGAAGGCTGTCCTATTATTATTGCTGCAAGAGCATTTTGTACTTTTAAGAGAACCTTTACATTACGTTGTGGGGTATGAGGGAGTCTAGAAGAGAAAGAGAAAAAGAAAGGGAGAGAATGGGGAGAAAGAAAATGAGACTTTGATATGCATGGCCAGGCGTTTTTATGTGCCTGCCTTCCCAGTCCGACTGTGTGTGCTCCAGGGCTCATAAAGCAGACCTTTGGCTGGGGACCTCTGGATTTAGTTGGGCAGGACATGTTTGTAAGTGTTGCTTGAATGCACCGCCAGGCGGAACAGCACCCGGAGGACTCCTAAGTCTGTGATTTTTGCTTGCTGCTGGCGACG